AGAGAAGATAGGATAGGAAGAAACATCGTAGATAAGATGAAAGAAAATAGAGTTACATGTTTAGTCAAGTTATGAGGAGAGAGGAATCGGAAGCTGTAAAAAAAGCTATAGAAATGTATGTTGAAGGAAGAACAGGTAGAGGAATACCAAAAAAGAGATGGAGGGATGTAATTGTATGCGATATGAGGACGTCTAATGTAAGAATAGAGGATGTGGGCGATTGTGTCAAGTGGAAGTTTAGGATAAGGGTGGCCGACCCCAAGTATTTAAGATTAAGGCGAGGAAGAAGAAGAATAAGAAGATTATTTTTTTATTTTCTGTTATTTTTTATTCTAGATATTTTAAATGTAAATAAAAATATGATATTTATACTATTGAAACTCATTGGTTTATTAATTAAAGGTTGATAGAACTCAATATTTAAAAAGTGAAAAATGAGTTTTTTAATTAAACTTTAATTAACAATTATAAGAAAAATAATGTTTAACTTTGATGTTGCTGAGCGTTTCGTATAATTTTTCATAACTTAAATTATATAAAAACCCAGCACAGGGGGGTCGCGGCACAGTGGTGACGTGGCATAGATGGATCAAGTATAATGATATCTGACAGTGATTAAAATCACTATAAAAAAAAAACGCTTCGATGCAAATCTTTAGATAGTGTTTAATTTTAAAAAATTGGTGCATTATTCCAAAAGCTACATGATCTGCTAGTTCATTATTAATATCCTAATTAAGATAAAGTATGTCGAATGAAAAAGGGATTATTAAAAAATATTATTTCTTATATAAAATAATGTTGATCCATACACTTTTAAATATGTCATAGCATTATAAAGTTAAAAATGTAAAAAATAGAATCGAGAATTTTCACATAATAATAGCATTTGGTAGCCATTTTCACCGTGAAGATAAAATAAAGTTCGAAATTTTTTTTTTCCATAATAAAGTTTATTACATTATCTTTAATTTAAGATATAAATCAAAGTGTCAGACTTTCCGGAACAGTTTCAAAATTTAAGTTGAAAAAGTAAATTTTTTGTGAAAAAGTTGTCATTTTAAATCCCCCCCTGTAGGCAGGTAAAGGGTCAGATATAAAAAAAATATATACCAAATGATAGGTAAAGACATCATGCATCTATAAAAAAAAAATTATATTGATCCATACATCTTTCAAAAAGTTATAGTATTATAAAGTTACAAATATAATAAAGAATTTTTTTACAAAAATCATATTTTTTTTATAAACTTTGATGTCTGTTTTCACCATGAAGATAAAATAAAGTCCGAAATTTTTTTTTTGCATAATAAAGAACATTGCATTAGCTTTAATTTAAGATATATATAAAAGTGTCAGACCTTCCGGAACATTTTCAAAAGTTAAGTTGAAAAAGTTAATTTTTTGTGAAAAAGTTGTCATTTTAAATCCCCCCTTGTGGGCAAGTTAAAGGTTAAATTTATAAAAAAAATATACTAAATGAAAGGTAATTATATTATGCATCTATATAAAAAAGAATTAAATTGATATATTTATTTTTGAAAAAGTTATGGCACTTTTAAGTAAAAAAAATTGAAAAATTTTGAAATTTAGCGATTTTTAAATTTGTAATTTTTTTGGAGGTATCCCCCATTTACGGGGAACGAGGGCATTTTTTTCAATTTTTGAGGGTAATGTCTTCGACTAGATACAATTTGTGATCTTTTGACGTATCATTGAAAGAAATTGGTTCGGTGAGAGCTGAGAAAAAGTGGTAACAGACA